AAGACTGCAAACGAAAGAGACGCGAGTGGGTGCCGACTTCGTGCAGCCGCCGTCAGAGGTGAGGGGAGGACTGCAAACGAAAGAGACGCGAGTAGGCGCCGTCTTCGTGCAGCCGCCGTCGGAGGTGAGTGGAGGATGGCAAATGAAAGAGACGCGAGTAGGAGCCGTCTTCGTGCAGCCGCCGTCAGAGGTGAGGGGAGGACTGTAAACGAAAGAGACGCGAGTGGGCGTCGTCTTCGTATAGCTGCCATTGGTGGCGTGGGGAGGACTGCATACAGAGGTGCCAAACTCGTCGAGATCCTTGTGGTAGGCGGGAGTGTTATCGTTTTGGGGCTCATCGGAGTCAGAGGGTTCCCTGGATTCATCGGTGAAGACGGACTTGAAGAAATCCATTGAAGGAGAAGAGTTCGCTGGAGAAAACGACAATAAGTTGATGAAACGACAATTTTGAGATGAAACGACACAATTTGAAAGGGGGCCTGAGGAGGAGTTTAATATATTATTATTTTAAATAATATTACGTGTTTTTTAAAATGAAACACCAAACCCCGTTTTAATTTTTTTTAGACTAAAAATAATTTTTGAATAAAACTTCTAAACACATTTTTAGAAATGATTCCTGCCTGAAAATGAAAACGTTTTCGTTTTCATTTTCATACAGAAAATAAAATCATTTTAAAACGAGTTTCAAACGCGTCCACAATGTTTAAATAACATAGAGTATTAAAATGAGATTTTCCGTATAACTTTTTAAACATATTTTGAAAGTAAAATTAAGTATTTATCATAAATAAAAAGTACAACTAAATGTTATCTTTGTTTTAATAAAGTAAATGTTATCCTTTTATCAAAAAATATACAATTGTTTTCACTTTTTTATTTTTTAACATTCCTCCAAAGCATAATCATAAAACAAGGGGAACAACCTGTGAGCGCGTGGGAAATAATGGGAAGGAAAAAAGTGGTTCCGTCACACTTGAACGTGGATCCCGCTTTTATTAAAAAAAAATGTTGCAATTGCTTGGCATTCACATGTGGTGTTTTGGAAGTGATGCGGAGCCGTATAGCTCTTTTCATGTTATTTTAACGCTTTAAAAACTCAAATAACGAGACTTTGAATGTTGATAAGCTTTTATTATTCTCTTCTAGGAGATTAGATTTTTTTTTCCCCATGATTTTCCTCCACCAAATCAGGGCCATACGCATTAAATTTGAGTAGAAATTAGATTAGCAGTCAAGGTTGGAATGCTTTGTTCTTGGTTTCATGAGCCCATCGTAGTTGTCAATACAGTAGTAATTAAAGGGGCTAACTCATTAATATTAGATTGATGATTGATCGAAAAACCACGACGTTGGGTAGGCAAGACTTATAATTATAGTAAATATATGCCATTTATTGTGTTTCAATGCTTAGATATAAAGTGATTAAAATTGTTAGATTGAAGGATAATAATCACATTAGTACCATGTATTACTCGGAAAAATCAATTTTGTTTTATGTGTTCTTCGTAATATTATAAAGATACTGTGAAGTTTTTAAAATGTCACTTTGATACTTAGGTCTTTTTTTAAGACATAAAATCAATACAATGATCAAGTTATGTCGTTACTAATAAACCTTTTTGTTGTAGTGATATATAAAATTTAGAGAATCAACATACAATATATAATACATATCATTTATATTTCGCAACTCTCTAATAACTTCAACACCTGATATGTACTTTGCACATACGAACACAATATGAGCAAGAAAATAAAGGAATTATAACAACCAAAGAGACGAAAAGAGTAATACCAGTGCTTAACGGCCTAAGAAAATTGACGAATAAGTTATGGTGGGCTCACTAGTAGATAAAGGAACTTGTATTGTAGCGTTCTCAGGTGCATGATAGTTGGGAACAGGCATGTTTTTGGGAAGATCGGGCAATGGCGCTTCAAAACTAAGGACTTGTATGACTTCCTTTATGGACGGTCTTAGATTATGGTCCGGATGAACGCACCACAATCCAACGGTCAGCAAACACTCCAACTGTTTCACGTCAAATTCCATGCATAACCTCTCATCAACCACATCAAGAAGCCTTCCACTTCCGTAAAAGGCCCAAACCCAAGAAACAAGAGAAACCCTATCCTCCTCTTCCGAATTGCGTTCAATGGATTTTCTCCCACATGCTATTTCTAACGCCACCACCCCACAGCTGTACACGTCCGACGCCTTGCTCGCCTTGCTCGTGTTTATGTACTCCGGTGCCATGTAGCCCCATGTTCCGGCCAACCCCGTTGTCCGGGGACCAGTGGCTTCGTCCACTAGCCTTGCTAAGCCGAAATCCCCAAGCTTGGCGTTGAAATTTGAATCCAACATTATGTTGCTCGATTTGATATCCCTATGAAGGACACATTGTTCTGATTCTTCATGCAAGTAGAGAAGTGCAGAGGCAAGTCCAAGAACAATTTTCTGCCTCACTTCCCACGAAAGAATGCTTCTATTTCTTCCAAACAAGTGAGAATCAAGGCTACCATTTGGGAGCAACTCGTAGACAAGAAGGAACTCTTTGCTGATCTCATGACACCAACCAATTAGTTGCACTAGATTTCTGTGTCTGAGTCTACTAATTATTTTAACCTCGCACATGTACTCTTTTCTTCCTTGTTTGGATCGCATAGAACCTCTTTTAACTGCCACGGTTAGATTCAAGTAACTCAAGTAGCCTTTGTAAACTTCCCCAAATCCTCCTTCACCGAGTTTACCTTCTTCAGCAAACTTGTTTGTGGCCTTAACCAATTCTTTATAAGAGAACTTCTTAGGCCCCATATCATGCTCAAATTCACGATCCATATTCGACGCGTCGAATCTTGTTCTCTTCTTACAATAACGAAAGGCACACAACAACGCAACACCAAGAAATATTAGAAAAGACCCACCAATTACACATGCCACCAGGAGCACTCGATCCACTCCACCACCATCTTTCGGAAGATCTTGCGCGATTAATGAAAAGTTTGTCGAGCTAAACTCCCAAGAAAGGATGTCGTGTGTCGCCGTACTAGCACCAGTGGCTGCGGAGAAACCGAAATTTACGTGTTCAGGCAGAACTTGCGATAGATCAATTTGATGAGAAAGCTCGTAAGTTTCATACTCACGGTAAGAAACCCTAACAGAGAGGGTTTTCGTCTGAGAAGTATACCAAATCCTCGCAAAACCTCTCGATCCGGAACTCCAATTACTTGTCAAGTTCACGGTCTTCACCGAACGGATCGAGTTTACGTCGATTGCGATATGGCTCGCGCTTGTCTCATCAAACTTACCGTTTTTGTAATTGTCGAACTCCACAGCCACAAGGCCATTCACCACTGCGGTGGAGTTGGCACAATTGGATATCAGCGCTAAACAGCCTCCCGCAGCATTCGGTGGTACTTGAGAACCGTTTTTGGCTAGAAAGAAGGCGAAGCCATCACCGTGACGAGGAGGATCATCTTTTAATGTCATGAGGAAAGAGAATGTAGTGTCGAAATCCGCCGTCGTATTTCCGGTTTGAGGGTTCCAAATCTGCATCTCTTCAGCGTATACCGCTCTGCCGGTGCTATTGGATTTGTCCGCGTTGAGCCTGAGGCGGACTCCATCTGTGGTATTGGTATTGGCATCACCGCCGAATGCGATGCCAGACCAGTTTCTGAAGTCCGTGCGGTTAAAGGAAATTGCATTTGCATGGAGAATTACTAAAGCTGGAAGAATTACTAGTCGGAGGCAAAAATAAGGCCGGAATAGATTGTAGCTGCTAGAATTACTAGTCGGATTGTTGATATTATAATCCATATTTTGATGATAAAGGCCGGAATTGAGGTATATATTAATATGTTGGAGAGACGTAGTTGTGGAGGACTGATCACAAAATAAGATGTCTTCATTTATGAATAATTTATATGAATCATACATTCCAAGAAATTTCAGGGAAAAAGGCACCGATATTATTTTTCTCGAAGATTAGGAAGTTGTCAAAGATGTTCTTCTCCTTTTGGAAAATTATTGGATATTCCGTGTTGTGCCGGTCAGACGAATTGGTCTTTGAGTAGAAAGTTATGGCCTCCAGGAATGCTCAAAGTCAACTGATGGGCCCTACGTATATTGGTGAGGTCCGAGTATTGGTGGGTGTGCCTTAAACGACATAGTTACTGATGGGCCCTACAAACATTAATCATTCTCAATTTTATGCTCAATAAAAGAACTATGGGGTAAATTACAGGATATGAGACTCTTACACGAGCGGGCAAATGGAGCAACTTTATAAAGGTGGTGTCTTCCATGAATTGATTACAAAGTTATCACAAACAGACCCGCAATATCACCCTCTAAAAGAAGTTTCCATGGATTATTGTCAAAATTTCTTAGCAAATCAAAATACCGACGATGGAAATCTTTGGACAATGCTCTTTTTGATAAAAAGTGAATCTTCCGCCTTCTATTCGTGATGGTACCATTAAAGCACCTGTAATCCCTTCGAGCTTCCTAAATAACAGAAAATGGGACAGTGGGTAATTGTCGTCTCATGCTACAACCTATTTATTTGATTAGTCTAAAAGCACATGATATGTAATTATACTTGGTAGTTTTTCATTTGACTAGGCTCTAATAAATCAAATATATATCCTCTGGTGGCAGCAAATTATTGTTTGGAAAAAAAATAGTAGCAGTAATCACTGCTGGCTATTGTTTACCACTTTTCTCTCTCTTCATGCATCATCAAAGAAACAAAAATAGAGTATCGTTGTCGTTTTCAAGAGCTCTTCTTATGAAAATCTTCCAAGGTAATCTATTTACATTCACTTGTATTTGACACTCGCCAAATGGAAAGAGATACAAATTCAGTGAGCTAGTGAAATAGAGAAACAAAGTATCATTTGTCGTTTAGTGATGATATTGTAATCCGTGTTTTAATGATATATAAAGCTGGAAAGAGCAATATTTGTTGGAAGTGTCGTTTGTTAACGGTAAAAGAAAATGGATCACAAATGGCCTGTAAAAAAAAATGAGAAGAGAAAATAAAATTTTGTATGACTCAACTTTAGACTGATCCAAAAAAATAATAAAAAAAAAGAAAAAAAAGGGATTAAAAAAAAATGCACGAGAGTCCAGAACATTAACGTGGAATGGAAAATAGGAGTGCAGAACGTCCAGAACGTAGAATTCTTTTATATAAAGGAAGCGAGTGCAGAGAAAAAGAGAAATTTTTTGGGGAGCTTTTCATCGAAAAACGTGTGTGCGTTTTCTTGAAGATAGTGCTGGAAGTTCAGGTCGGCGGGCTGCCTGAAGCCCGAATTTTTTTGGGCTCGGGCGGGCAGGCCCAATTCCTGCCCTCCCAAGCAAGAAATTCGGGGTCGGGCTCGGGCAGCCC